ATTTTATTGATAATTAAACTAATTAATTTTTGATAATTTTGATTTGATTTCGATTTTCAAAATTAAAAAAAAATTAATTATTTTAAAATCAATTTCAATTTTAACCAAAAACCGGTTTTGCCCACCTCTAGCAGAAAATAACAACTAAAGTGGAACAGCTGTCTGCATCTTGCAAGTCTGCTAGCCACTAGCGGAGACAAGGGGAGGCCCACCCTAAGAAAAAAAAAATACCACGGAGGAGGAGTAAGCGGAAGGAGTAAACGAGGAGACTAATTGGAAAAGAGTAAATGCTACAATGCTGGTGAGATTTCAAGTTAATATCACGGAAACATCCTGGAAGGTAAGAGGAAGGAAATGAGGTGTCCTTGAGATTTTAAGTTTACGACATTTTGATTTTTTTCATTTTTTTTTAAATTATGTTTTTAGTGTATAGGTTAAGATAATATTTATTATATGAGATTCATAGGATATAATTTAAATTATATATTAAAAGTATAATTTATAATATAAATTTATTAAAATAATTTTAATAAAATTTTAAAATAAATTATATTTTTAATATAAAGTTTATTTTATAAATTTTTTGTTATTATATTTTTTAGTTTTTAATTTGTAAATATTAAAAGGCAAAAATATGACATAAGGACCCGAACTTACACCAAATTCGTAATTTCGGACCCAAACTTCAATTGCGCTCAAGGAAGGTCCCGAACTCCACGAAATTCTCAAATAAGGACCCAATTGGACGGAAAACTAACTTCCGTAAATCTCCTATTATTCCGTTAATGTTCCGTCACATTTCACACCCGCACTTGAAAAAAAATTGGTTAAATGCTAATTTTGGTCCCTCAACTTCATTAAGTTTTACTTTTTTGTCCCTCAACTTCATTAAATTTCACTTTTTTATCTCTCAGCTTTATTTTTTGTACTTTTTTTGTTCATAAATTATTTTTATACTTTTTTTGTCTTTAAATTATTTTTTATACTTTTTTAATCTCTTAACTTTAATAACTGCACAATTTTAATACTTTCATCAGTTTAAGCCATTAACTCCACTCACTTGGTATTTTTTATATTTTTTTGATGACATATATAATCTAACTAAAAAAAAATGATAACATGAATAAATAAAATAACATGAATAAATAAAATAACATGTAAATAAATATTTATATTTTTTATAAAAAAATATAAAAACCTCTCTAC